CTAGCGCTTTCCAAGTAACACGGAGAACATTGTCGACACAAGTCCTCCAGAGTTGGGTTTTCCCTTTAAAATTTTTATTACGGAAATTTCAACTGTGGCACAGAAGTAGGAAGAATGATGTACTCACTACCCAGTTTTAAAAGCTGTCAATATTTGGGGTGGTGGGGGGAGGTGTCTAATGGCAAATTATTGTGGTTCTTAGTTTCTTAACAATGGTTGAGCTTGTGAAGTACCCAGGTCACCCTCCTTGTACAAGCCCCTGACATCTGCCTGTGTCTTGTTTCCCTGTTTCAGGTGGAGGTGGAGGCAGTGTCCCAGGGATCGAGAGGATGGGCCCTGGCATTGACCGCATTGGGGGTGCCGGCATGGAGCGCATGGGCGCAGGCCTGGGCCACGGCATGGAGCGCGTGGGCTCTGAGATCGAGCGCATGGGCCTGGTCATGGACCGCATGGGCTCCGTTGAGCGCATGGGCTCCGGCATTGAGCGCATGGGCCCACTGGGCCTTGACCACATGGCCTCCAGCATTGAGCGCATGGGCCAGACCATGGAGCGCATCGGGTCTGGCGTGGAGCGCATGGGTGCCGGCATGGGCTTTGGCCTCGAGCGCATGGCCGCGCCCATCGACCGCGTGGGCCAGACCATTGAGCGCATGGGCTCTGGTGTGGAGCGCATGGGCCCTGCCATCGAGCGCATGGGCCTGGGCATGGAGCGCATGGTGCCCGCAGGCATGGGGGCTGGCCTGGAGCGCATGGGCCCCGTGATGGATCGCATGGCCACCGGCCTGGAGCGCATGGGCGCCAACAACCTGGAGCGAATGGGCCTGGAGCGCATGGGCGCCAACAGCCTGGAGCGTATGGGCCTGGAGCGCATGGGCGCCAACAGTCTGGAGCGCATGGGTCCTGCCATGGGCCCGGCCCTGGGCGCTGGCATTGAGCGCATGGGCCTGGCTATGGGTGGTGGTGGCGGTGCCAGCTTTGACCGCGCCATCGAGATGGAGCGTGGCAACTTTGGAGGAAGCTTCGCAGGTTCCTTTGGTGGAGCTGGAGGCCATGCTCCTGGGGTGGCCAGGAAGGCCTGCCAGATATTTGTGAGAAATGTAAGTGGCTCTTCAGGAATGCCTCAGTGGTGGTGTGCGGGGGCGGGGGGCAGGAAGTCAGCAGGACAGAATGGTGTCAAGTCAGAGTCAGAGATGATGCCCTCAGAAAAGGGAGCTGAGAAGCATGCAAGGTCACCTTGCCACTGTCCCCAAAGTTTGGTGCTGGTAGGATGAGGAGGAAATGGGGAGAGCTTACAACACTTCATGCAGCAAGAATAGTGAACCCACTGGGCTGCCCTGACTACTAGATGGGACAGATTGTGAGTGAGCTGAAGAACTCATTCCCTGATCCTTCAGCTTGAAGAGCCACTAAACCTTGGCATGACGATTCAGAGGAAAAATGGCTGTATCTGAATTAACTCAGATTTACTGCCTTTAGCTGGTATTCAGTGGTTCTGAGCGCTGAACCACAGGCAGCTGTGCGTTCTGCTCTCTGCATGATCCTCCCACGGACAGATAAAGCCACAAGGGAGTGAACTTGGTGTGCTAGTTTAGAACCTCATTCCAGATAGTCTTGTTTTGTTGTCTATGATAGTCTCAGTTTGAAGGTCAGCCAGATTCTCTGTAATAAGAAATCCTTTAAGTCACCCTCAGAGACAATGGTGGTGGTTACGCATTAGGACTTCGTCGAATCACTCATCAGTCTGTTCTTTTCCCCCTTTAGCTCCCATTTGATTTTACATGGAAGATGCTAAAGGACAAATTCAACGAATGTGGTAAGTGTTTGAGAAACCTGTCTAGGTGCCTCCATGTGCTGTGGCTTCAGAAATCTTAGCTCGCTGGTGGTGCATTTGAGTCATGCAGTGAGGCTTCTATCCTAGTCCTCACAAGATAGAAGACTCTGGAAGACGGGTGGGACTTCCCATTTTCCCACCTATTCAAATAATTCAAGCAGGTTGTTGAATTTCCTGTTACGTGTCAGACTTATGTGTTCTCATTTCATCCTTATCTTTTTTTTTTTCCTTTTACAATTTTTGAAAGGAGGTACTGTTGTCCCCATTTTATAGATGAGTCAGGCAAAGTCACGTTCCCAACGTCCTATGGCTTCTAAGTGACAAAACTAAATAAAATGAATTCCTCTGAGACAAAGTCACTTTCTACCACAGCACCCTTGGATCATGCCTCAAAGTGCACCCACCCAGCAGGTCCCGTAGGCGAGGCTTCGCAGGCTCTGGGCATGGTGGTAGCTTGTGTGTGGATGAGGTTGAGGGTTTGTGGTTTTCTGGCACACCAGGCAACCATTCTGGAAGGCTCACTTTGTGGCCAAAAGGAAGTTAAGTTGTCCCGGGTGAACCCCCTCCCCCCCTCCCCTCACCCGCACCACTTCAGTTCTTTTAACCATGTCAAGTGGGAGGCCCAATCATAAGCCAGAGTGGGTGGCTTGTTGGATCAAGGCTTCCTCAGTGTTCTCATTTCCTATTTCAGTAATGGCTCAGATTCACCACGATTGCTGCTTCTCCTGGTTCTTCTCTCGGGTCTGATGTTGAGCCATAGCCGGCCTTCTTGCCCTCTGTCCCTACTCCTAAGTTTCCACATTGTAGTAGATATTCCTAAAAGTCAGGTTTGAGCGTGCAACTCCCCCCTGCCCAGATGCCTGAGGTGCCCGTGGCCGACAAAAGAAAGTCCAAACTCACAAGCCCCTGTACCACGTGGTCCCTTCCTGTTTCATCTCCCTCCTGTCTCTGCACCCTGAGTTGCAAGTGCTGCTCTCCAGAAGGGCTCTGTTGAGCTTTTATCAGCAAGTCTTGCTCTGGTGAACTTAAGCTATTTCAGAACTTTCCCGTGAGAAACCCTCCAGGATGTTGGCCCTCCCTCAGAGTTAATGGCTGTAGAGTTGTGGGTCCCCTGCCCCAGCTGCATTGTCCTGTCCTTGGCAGTCACAGAAGTGGAGCCCTGTGTTGCTGTGGCTCCTCTCCTGTGCACTTGTTTCCATGGTGCATGACACATAGCTGGACACTTAAATCGGAGCTTGAATGAACCTGAGAAACCTGCTTGCTCATTATTACACAGCTTGTATTGGACAGTGCAGAAGTGTCCATCATATTGTGATGGCCTTGTATAAGTGCTGGTGTGCTGTATTGGAAACGGAGCCTCTAAAATTTGCCTATAAAGTCAGCTTCTTGCCCCCCCCCCCCCCCCCCCCCCCCAGCTCTCCTGAGTGTAAAGGCATGTATTTGAAACTGCCAGGAAGGCTTATCACGGGACCAAGCAGATTGTTGTCCTGTTGGCAGAAGAATGGCAGTGGGGCCGAGGGCTGTACTAGCTGGGGCCCAGCCGCTGTGTTCATGCACCAGGCCTGGGGCCCTCTCCCTTTTGACTCATCTGAAATTCAGCAGGTGAACTGGGCTGAGTGGAGCCCAGACTGAGGCTGCGCTCTGGTTTGCCTGAGGAATTATGGTCTCTTCTTCCCTCCCTGTGCCCAGGCCATGTGCTGTATGCCGACATCAAGATGGAGAATGGGAAGTCCAAGGGGTGCGGTGTGGTTAAGTTTGAGTCGCCAGAGGTGGCTGAGCGAGCCTGCCGGATGATGAATGGGATGAAGCTGAGTGGCCGAGAGATTGATGTTCGAATCGATAGAAATGCTTAAGCAGTTGCCTTTTTTAAACATCGATACCAGATCTCTGAATTTGTATTTTTCCTTGTTAACCATTTTAATTTGTTGGCTGGATGTATAAAGATGTTTAAAAAATTCAGTTGCTTTTTGGGGTAATTTGAATTACTTTTTTAATGACTGGGGTTCCATTTGACTGTTTGCATTGAGATTGCAATGTGCGCAATTTTTTTTGTAGTTGTGGCATCTTGTTGACATCGAATATGACTTTGATAATAAATACCAGTTCCTGAAAGCTGCTTGCTTTTGTGTGTGTGTGTTGTGGGGCCACCACCCCAGATTTGGGGAGCTGTAGTCACTCGGTCTTTCTACCCGGGGAGCTGTAACTACCAGGAGGAGTCTCATCTCCTTGCTTGTCTGTCAGCCCCGCCATTTTAGGGAAAACTTTTTATGGAAACGGAACCCTGAGGGTTTTTTTTTAATGCCCTTGTACTGTAATGGAGCCCTTGGCTGTTAGCAGTCAGGAAAGCCATCCTGTGTCCCTCCTGTGCAGTTTCTGTTTCTGCTCTGGCTGCTGTAACAAAAATACCATATGCTGAGTAGTTTATAAACAACAAACTGATTTCTTGGCCTGGAGACTGGAAGTCCAAGCTCAAGATGCTGGCTGATGTCTGGTGAGACCCTGCTTGCCCATAGAGCCTTCTAGCAGTGAGTGATCTCACATGGTGGAAGGTGGGAAGGGAGCTCTCTGGGGGGCTCTTACAAGGGCCCTAATTCCATTCATGAGGGCCCTGTCCTCATGAGCGAATCTCAAATTGGGCATTAGGTTTCCAATATAGGAATTTTGGCAGGGGGGTGACACCAGTATTCTGTCCATAGCAGCTTTTCTTTGCTAAAACACCCAGACGGGTGCGTTTCTGAGCATATTTAGTCCTGTAGAGTTTCAGGCTGAACTTGATACCTGGGCTCTGTCAGAACTGGGTCACCCTACCACCACCACTACCAAGATGTGATCTCATACATAGGTTCACTTGGGCTAGACTGCTGTTTGCAGCCTGTAAGGAGCAACAGCTGCTGCTTTGTCCTGTTTGCATGTGGAGGGTCGCAGAGTGTGGGACATGTCCTGCCCATCTCCCTCTCCACCATGGCTGGCAGCTGACGGGCCCAATCACAGGGACCCCCACCTTGAAGTCTAGCAAGGTACCACTTGCCATCTCCATGCCACTTCTTCCTGGCCTTTATCCTGAGGGATGAGACCGTGAAGAAGGGAGTTGACCCCACAGACTCCTGAGTGTTTGATTGTGGCTCCCTTATGTGTACCAATCAGGCGGGAAAGAAAAGACAAGTGGGGATCGCTTTTAAAGAGTGGCTTTATGTGGTCCATGTACGTGGTCAGGCCTGAGCCTTGGCAATCATGTGACCTCCAAGTTGGGATCCAGGACTCCTGGGTTAGTGGGTGGCATATTCTCCCGGGTCCCCACACCTTCGGGCCTTATCGTCCCCTAGGGAATGGTTGGCTCTCCAGAGGGTCTGCAGAGGAAGGGTGACTTCCAGTGATCCTCTCCCCAGAAGCAGAGGTCCATCAGCCCCTGGGAGAGTGAGGTGGGGGCTTACCCCTCCCAAGGTGCTGTGGTCCCCTCCAACCCTCCCAGAACGGCTACATACCCCAGAAGGCAACGTCGTCATACACTTCCGTTTCCCTGGTGGAGAGCACATTTGTGTCAGCAATTGGCACCCTGGCCCATTGATGATGCACGCCCCCCCCCCCCCAACCCCCTGCATCAGGACAGCACTCACAGGGGTAGCAGCGCTGTTCTAGGCACGTAGCCATCTGTGAAGAGAGCAGGATGGGTGATCAGCCTGGTGGTTGCGGGGCCTGTCTCCCCAGGGCTCCCAGCCCAGCTTACTCACACTTGCCCTTGGTGTTCCTGCATAGCATCTCCTCCTCGCTGGTGAACTCAATCACCTCCAGGATCTCCCCACGCCGGATTCCCAGGTGCTTGCCGCCCCCACGACGTGTCTTGGCATTGGGGTCAATCATCATCCTGGTCTGAATCACAATCTCCCCCTCAAACTGGGGAGGGACATGTTAGAGCTTTGGCTGGTGCTGATCCCACCCTCCCGGGACTCCCCACTTCCGAGGATGGAATTCATGGGGCCTTAGTCAATTGGGCCGAGCCCAGTTCCCCAGGGCTCTTGCTTAGCTTGGTGTCCACCTTGAACTTCTTCCGGAACTCTCTCTCAGCTTTCTCTGCCTTCCGGATCTGCTTCAGGACCTTTGGGTCTGTGGGCAGCAACTGTGGCTGGGGGGCCTTCTCCTTCCTGAGGCCCCCAAGGAAATGGGTGATCATGAGCAAGATATACTCCTCAGGGTCCCCTTCCACTGCCCTCCCAGAGCTCAGCTCCTCATTCCACTCCCTTTGCCCTGTGGTACCTGAGCTCAAGGTCTTGTGACTTCCTGGGGGGTTGCTGGGTGGATGGCACTGCATCTGGGAGCAGTCAGAACACCGAGTTAGGGCAGGGTCCATCAGCTTGGCCTCTCAGCCCTGGTGGCTTGATCTTGAGTGGACCTTCGCTTTGTCAGTTCTCAGGACATCTCCCCCGCCTCCATTCTGGCCAGGCCCCCTCCCAGCCCCTGCCTTGCCCAGATGTCCACCCTCTCCCCATGCTAAGCATGGCAGAAACTTCACGTTAATTCAACCCTCACAGCAGCCTTATTCATGACACTACTGTCATTCCCAATTTGCTGATGAAATAAAGGCCCTGAGAGGGAAAGTAACCTGCCCAAGGTCAGCCAGCTGGTAAATGGCAGAGGGGCAGGATTTATTTGCATGCTTTTGAGGCCATTTCATGCCTGGCGCCTAGAGCAGGTTGGGTTCTGGGAACTGTAATAAGATATGGGTCAAAAATGAGGCAAAAGCATTTCCTGGTGGCAAACTTAAGTTGGCCTCTGAGAAGGGGCTCATAGGGCGGGGTTCTTTGGCTTGGCTGCTGCTGATACTGGACTGTGAGGGGTATCCCAGGGTGAGGCTGACTTCCTGGCAAGTGACCAGCCTTCCAGGGAGGAGCCTGCTGGCCAAGGGGTTGGCTTACAGCGAGGGCCTCATGAGCAGGTGAGTGAAGTTGCCAGAACCCGAAGCTCTCAGCTTTTCACTGTCCTCTGAATAACTAACTCCAAGCGTCTGTCTGTTGACATTTCGGGCCAGCAGTCCCTCCCATCAAGCAGCCGCCCACTGCAGCACAGAGCACACTCCTGGGCAGAGTTGCGGGGCAGACCTGGTGCCCCCACTTGGTGCACCAAGCTTGCTGGAGTGCCACCCTGAGCAGGCCCCTGTGGGTGGCCTACTTGGATGCTGGGAAAGAGCCGGGCCCAGCCCTCAGCTGTGCGGGAGCCCCTAGTGAGGTGGAGAGTGGGCGGATAGACTTGAAAAAGACAAAGCTGCCTTTGGGACCGTCGGTGCTAACAGTGAGCCCTACACTTTCTCAAGGGGGAGATCCGGGGGTTGGTGGCATTTGATGGGAATCTTGAAAAATAACAGTGCAGCCATAGCAAGCAGAGGTGGGGCTGTGCCTGGTCTGTCTGGGTGCCTGCAAGGCTGCTGGAAGTGGAGTGGCCAGAGGCATTCCCTTCCCATGTCCAGGTCCCCAACAGTGGCCCTCCAGAGCCGAGCCACAGAGCCGAGCTGGAGCGGAAGCAGGAGGGGCCCTGTCAGGAAGCTCTGTGCTAACGGAGGGCTGTTGCAAGCAGCCCCTGGGGAAAGCTCAGAAGTAGCCACAGAGGCAGCAGACCTGGGTGGAGGGTGCTAATGGGGAGGGAGGTAGCATCCTAGACTCCCCTGATGGAAAGTTCCCCTGCAGGAGGCCCTTCAAAGCCAGGGCAGGGAAGCAGTCTGGGAGCAGAGGCCCTGGGCTCCTCTGTACTGGCTGTGTAAGCTGGGGGAGGTCACTTCTCGGGTCCTCAAGCTTGCCCATTTGTCAAGTGGGCATGACATTGCCTTGGGGGGTGGGGCTAAAGGGGCTGTGTAGATTCAGTGAATGTAAAGTGCTTGCATGGAAGCCATCTTTGTTTTTCACGAGGTTCATGAAGGCATTAACCCTGGAGCTGGGCTGGAGGCAGCAGCCTGCTAGGCCAGTATCCTGCTCTCCAGGAGCAGAGACTTGGAAGAAGGGAGAGAAGGGTCCTTTGGAACCCCAGGACACAGAGAGCTGCCAGGGCCACACTATGTCCAGCCCATGCCTTTCCAAGTTCCAGGTCCAAGTCCTCAGGCACCTCCAACACAACCAGTCCTTGTCCCCGACTCAGGGATGGTTCCGCTCTGCACCCAGGCTCAAGCCTCCAAACGGGCTGCATCCATATCAAGCTCTCTTGCTCCCTCTCACCCCTGCATAATACACCACTAGGTCTTCTTGACGCTTTTTACCTTATTCTTCCACTGCCCCACCCTGGGCTACACCGTGCTCTTTGGCTGTTGACACCTGTGCTGCCCTTCCTCACACTGCTCTGGCCACCAGGAGCTGTTTGTGACCTTTCTGGAAAGCCCCTCCTCCCTCCCCTCTGCTCTCTCCCAGGCGCTGTCGGACCTCACACCAGCAGCATGGCAAAAAAATGCCCTTGCAACAGATGTGTCCCAAGTGCCCAGGCTGGCTGGGTCCAGCCCCGCGGCCAACAAACCTCTGCCCTTGAGGCTGGATCTGGAATCATCTGTGGGCTCCACGTCATCGTACACCTCATAGATCTCGTCCAGGTCCCTGCGGGGATACATGAGATGAGGGCCTTTCAGCCCCATGACCCGTGCCTGTGTCCCCTTACTCCCCACACTCACTGCGGGATGTCCTTAGACTGTCGGGCCTGGATGTGGATTCCAGCAGCAGAGCGGGTCCTCCGCAGAGCTGTGGAGAGATGAGGATGGGAGGGAGGCACGCTTGGCCAGGGAGCCTCTGCCCCCTCCTTCCAGCCTGGGCTGCCCTCACCCACCTGTGGCAGCTGCTGAGGGTCTCTGAAAGCTCTGGACATCCCTGAGGTCCGGAGGCAGTGGGGGCTTGGCTGGAGGGGGTCCCAGGCTGCTGATTGGGGGTAGAGGCCTCTGCTGGGGTGGGTGGCCGGGTTTGAGGCCTAGTCTTGACCCTCCACTGTGAGAGAGAGCTCCTGACCTCTGCTGCCTGGCTCTGAACGTGGGGCTGGAGCCCTCAACAGCTGTGGGCAGTGAGCTCTCTGAAACAGAGCCAGGCAGTGGAGGCTTTCTAGAGAGCCCCCCAAAGAACTCCACCTGCAGGGGCTTTTTGGGCAGAGCATTGGGCTCGGGCTGTGAGTATTTGCGGGGGGGCCCTTGGCCCTCTGGCTGCGGAAACTTCCTGGGGAGCAGGCTGACCTCAGGCTCTGAGGTGGTCCTGGGGAGGCCACCCAGGTCAGGCTTCGGGGGCTTCTTAGAGAGCGCTTTGAATTCAGACTGCCAGGGCCTCTTGGGAAACACACAGACTTGGGGCTCCGAGGATGTCCTGGTGAGGTCACCAAACTCAGACTGCAGGGGCTTCTTGGGGAGGTGACTCAGCTGAGGCGGTGGGATCTTTTTTGGAAAGACACTGAAGTTGGGCTGTGAGGAGTGGGGATGGGGCTCACTGGGCTCAGGCTTCCAGGGAGGCATCTGAGGGACCTCGCTGAACTCTGGCTGTGGCAGGGACTTATTAGGGAGGCCACCGACCTGAGGCTGCTGGGGCTTTCTGGGGAGCATGCTGAACTCAGGCTGTGGGGGCTTCTTTGGAAAGGTATTGAACTCAGGCTTCGGGGTGGCCTCATTGGGCTCAGGCTGCCAGGATTTCCTAGGGAATGCATTGAATTTGGGTTCTGTGGGAAAGCTGGTGGGGTTGTTGAGCTCAAGCTGCTGGGACTTCTGTGCAAGTGCGCTTGGCTCCCGCTGAAAGGCCTTCTGAGGGGACCCACAGACCTCAGGCTGCGGGGGCTTCTTGGGGAACAGAGTGGCCTCGAGCTGTGGGAACTTCTTGGAGCGTTCACTGAACTCAGGTTTGGAGGGCTTCTTGG